TGTGCGTGCTAGACCCGTCTCCAAATATACCCTCAATAATGGAAATGCACTCTTCTCTATGTTTTCTGGTAAGTTCCTTTTTATGTTTAGAGAAGGAGTCCCCCATGGAACCTGATAAGAGAAAACCATGTCTCATTACAGTCAAAATTAAGTGATTGTTTTCAAATTGAAAAAGAAACATGAGTTGAAGACAGATTAAGGTCCCCTTTAGTGAAGGTTATTTGGCAGAAATGACTGAATATGTTGAATTCTCTAAAAAGAAAAGCTTTTAGTAACATCTACTCCAGCCAAATAAACCAGTCAGAAGATCATAATTCTGATTACCCTTCTTATGCGGTTGATAAAAAAAATAAGTAAAATAGGCTAGAACTGGCTACCAAATGGGTGTTCACAGATAACACTAGCAGGGTAGGTTGTGATACCATGATGTTGTAAAGGAGAAAGAACAGGTGGTGTTGAAGCTGGAACAAACATAAGTCCCTTTGCTTCCAAATAAACTCTCAAGCTCTATCCTCCAGAATGAAAAACAAAAACATAACACATTATTTGTACGTAATCAAGGCTTAGATTTGAATCCAGACATAAACCGCCTTTGTGATAAGAAAGTGTTTCTCAGATGGTGTTATCTATGTTTATGGTTCATGGCTTCAAAACTCCTTTTAGTAGACCAATAAGCCTTCTTAAGGAATAAACATAGGTGGTCCTGTTTTATTTAAATGATGATCAGCTTTAGTCGGCAAATCTCTCACGCACCTATAGAAAGGAACAAAAGGAAGATACGGTGTAGTGTTCAAACCTGGTGTGCTGAATGAGTTACAAAATAGACATGATATTGGTGTTGATCACGGGAGAAAGCTGCAGCTATGGCCTGTCCATTTGAACGCATAAATATGTGAGTATGTTTACACTCAAACGTATAACGTATACACATGGAGAGGGAGAGGGAGAGGGAGTTACTGCCAAAGGATTGACATCGCCTTTGGTGCCGAAGGCCATGAACACTGCCGTTGGCCTTGTCCTCATCATATATATCCTGTGGCAATAAATATTAAATGCAAATTCGACGACACTCCAATTGCTTGCTTGGTTTCTCTGAGAAGGGGGAGTCTACAATTTCGATCAACGCATATAAACACGGGTTTCAAATCAGCCCTCAAATCACCCCTTAAATTTAAAAATGCAATCAAATTCTCCAACTTAGAGCATCTCCAATGTTAAAGCGTTAACGGTGCATATGTGGCATGAAAAATAACTAATTAAAAAACAATAAATACAATATCTCTCTCCTTCTTTCCACGGTCTTATGTGTTTATGGTAAGTTTTTGTCTCCAATGTCAATCACAATGTCTACATCTAAACATTGTGCTTGACATTGTGAAGATAAACTTACCAAAATGATGTAAGATCCTTTAAATAAGGAGAGAGATATTGTATTTATTATTTTTTAATTGGTTATTTCTGATGCCACATATGCACCGTTAATGTTTTAACATTGGAGATGCTCTTAGCGGTATAGAGCAAATGACTTTCCTAAGCTATAATTTACTGATTAAAGTTGATGTGCGTCATTTATTAAAAAAATCATGTTTAACATATGATTCATTTACCCATCTCAATATGTCTTATTTAAACCTTTTATTGACTGCTTACAGAATGAGATTGAACATGCAATCTCTTGAGATTGCTCGTGTGTTTCCACCCTTGGCTGAAAACTCATCGACGAACTCAAGAACTAAAAATAGAACCGGTCAAATTAATTAGGGTAATTTTTCCCTTGCCACTCATTCCATAATACAGAGTATATATACAAGAATTAACCTAGTGGTTAATATGGGCCCTGTGTAAATCTAAGTACAAATATGGGCTAAATAAATACAAATTGTACAATTTAATTCCAACACCCCCCTCAAGTTGGAGCATGCGGATTACAAATGCCTAACTTGAAAAGTAAATAATGAAATTGTTGAGCACCCAAAGCCTTAGTGAAAATATCTGCAAGTTGTTCCGAAGTAGACACATGAGATGTACGGATAGTCCCATCTTGAACTGCATCACGAACATAATGGCAATCCACCTCAATATGTTTGGTGCGTTCATGAAATACCGGATTTTGGGCGATATGTATGGCAGACTTGCTATCACAGAATAGCGGCATTGCTGGCGAGTGAGTGACACCGAGGCTAAGGAGAAGTGCTTTAAGTTATTTGAGCTCCGAAGTAACAGATGCCATGGAGCGGTATTCTGCTTCAGCCGAAGAGCGAGAAACCGTATGTTGTTTCTTGGTTTTCCGAGAAATAGGAGAAGAACCAAGAAATGTCATCCATCCGGTAAGAGAACAGTGTGTAAGTGGGCAGCTAGCCCAATCAAAATCACAACACGCCGAAAGAGTCAAGTCAGTACGAGAGGTGAGGAGAATACCTTGACTCAGAGTGCCTTTAAGATACCTGACGACGCAAAGAGCGGCTTCCCAGTGATCATAACGTTGAGCATGCATGAATTGTGCCATGATATGAACGGCGTAGGCTAGGTCAGGACGTGTGAAGGATAAATAAATAAGACGCCCAACTAGATGACGATAAGGCTCCGGATCAGGTAATGGAACACCTGTAGCAAAAGCAAGAGAGTGGTTTTGCGGAAGAGGGACATTGACTGGTTTTGCCCCGAGCAACCCAGCGTCAGCTATGATATCCAGTGAGTACTTATCTTGACACAGAAAAAGGTCGTCAGCAGTGCGGACAACTTCAACTCCCAAAAAATATTTCAATAAGCCAAGATCCTTCATGTGAAAACAAGCACTCAGATACTCTTTAAAGGATGTCAAAGCAGATGAATTATTTCTTGAAATTATTAAATCATCAACATAAACGAGGATAGAGAGACGAACGGTGCCACAATGAAAAGTTAAGAGAGAATAATATGAGTGAGACTGCTAAAAACCATAGTTCTTGAGGGAAGCAGCAAGTTTGGCAAACCAACACCGAGGAGCCTGGCACAGCCCATATAAAGACTTCTTGAGACGACACATTAATCCGAGCGTGCTAGGAGTAAAGCCAGGTGGTAGTTTCATGTACACTTCTTCATCAAGATCACCGTGGAGGAATGCATTGTGAACGTCCATTTGGGGAATTTCCTTGTTCTTGGCGGCAGCAACCGCAAGAAATACACGCTCCGTAGCCATTTTAGATGTGAGAGAAAATGTCTCGTTATAGTCCAAGTCGGCTACCTGATGATTGCCCAAAATAACAAGGCATGTTTTGAGACGCTTTACACTTCCGTCAGAATGGTACTTGATCTTGTAAACCCATTTGCACCTCAGTGCCTTTTTATCGGAAGGTAGTGTGGTCATCTCCCATGTGCCATTATCTTCTAATGCACGTATTTCTTGTGCCATAGTCGTGCGCCAGCCAGCATCTTGCATGGCCTCAGAGAACGAGCGTGGTTCAACATAGGGGTGTTAACGAGCCGAGCCGAGCCCGAACACCTAAAGCTCGAGTTCGGCTCAATAAGGAATTAATGGTGTTCGGGTTCGAGCTCGAAGCTCGGCGAGCTTTACATATGAGGCTCGTGTTCGGCTCGATAGGCGTTCGATGTTCGAACCGAGCGCTCGTTAAGCTCGATAAATATGGTCGATTTTAAAATTTTAGGTGATGCTCGTTAATAGGCTCGTGCTCGAATGATTCGACAAGTATTCGGTTCGTTAATAAACATATTTAAATGCTTAAAATCATACTAATTATATTTAAATTTTTATTATGTATAAATTATATTTATAATTTCAGGGTGTTCGATAGGCTCGAGTTCGAACCGAGCCTAATACTACTATGTTCGAGCTCGGCTCGATTAATATTTCGAACTTAAAACTCAGCTCGGGTTCGAGTTCGAAAGCTCGTTAAGCTCGGCTCGTTAGGTTCGAAACCGAGCTCGAACTCGAATAGTCCGATAAAAGCTCGGTTCGTTAACAGCCCTAGTTCTTCAACACTAGTGTGCACTGCATCTATAAAAGCACAATGCCGAGCAGAAAATTTGTTAAACCTGATAAAATGTGCTAAAGAATAAGGTATACATGGGGAAGAAGATGGAGGCGACGAGACCGGGGAGGGACTCATACTACTTGCTGCATGGGTGATATAATCACGGAGTAAAACAGATGGCCGCCTTTCACGATGACCTCGGCCCAAGGTAGGTTTAGTAGGTGGTTGGGTAGTACTAGCTTCCGAGGGGTCAATCAACTCATCTGAAGTAGGTGGCAGTATTTCTGTGATCCCTATAGTCTCACCCGATGCTTCATCAACAGGAGAGGATGGGTCTTTAAGGTCATCATCAAATCCAATAAAAGTAGGCATTAAAGGAGTTAGTTGATCGTCATTCGGGGGATCCGCAAACGGAAATTCATGTTCATGAAAAATGACGTCACGAGACACACAAAATTCTTTCGTCTCTAAATCAAATAATTTCCACCCCTTTTTGCCATTTATTTCCTTTGGCTCGTTGATTATGTGCAAACGTAGGCACCCAAAAACGCGTAATTCGTCATACGCATGTGTTTTCCTAGACACGACCTCAAACGGTGTTTTATTTCCAAGTAGACCATAAGGTGTGCGGTTAATCAAATACACTGCTCCAAGAACAATTCGCCCCAAAAATGAATCGGGAGATTAGCTTGACACATGAAAACACGAGCAACATTACAGATATGTTGATGTTTTCGTTCCACCCATCTGTTTTGCTGAGGCGTTCCAACACACGAGTTTTGGAATAAAATACCATGAGTAGCAAAAAAATCAACCATATAAATAAATTCCGTACCATTATCAGTACGAACAGTCTTAACAGAAGTTTCAAATTGTCGTTCCACCATAGCTAAAAACGAGCAAAAAACTTTGTGCACTTCACTCTTAGCACAAAAAAGATACACTCAGACAGCACGAGAAAAATCAGCCACAATTGTCAAAAAATAAACAACATCACAAGGTGAAGGAGTACGATTAGGGCCCCATAAATCGCAATGTAATAATTCAAAAATACTAGTCGCTTTATTTTCACTAATAGGAAAACTGTCACGAGTTTTCTTGGCCATGGGACATGCCACACATGGCTTATATAATGTTTTTCTATCTGAAATACAATCAACAACAAGTACTAACTTGAGAACTCTATTTGAGGGATGACCCAACCGCCTACGCCACAGATCAAAAATCCCACACTTCGAACCTGCTATCAATTGAATTCTAGGAATACTTCGGAAGTAGTAGAGTCCATCACGTCTCTCACCGGCTCCAATCAGGTCCCCTGAGAGTTGGTCCTGTATAGCACACAAATTATCAGTGGATTTAACAAGACATTTCGAATCATCAATGAGTTGTGCAACGGAAATAAGGTTACACGTCAAGTGTGGGACACACAACACATTTTTCAAAGTAAGATGCTCATATAAACAAACATCTCCAACCATCTTGGCCGCAACCCTCTGGCCGTTAGGTAAACCAACTGTCCAGTGCTCAACATGCTTAAAATTGGTGAGAAAATTAAGATTACCGGTAACGTGATGTGTGGCCCCGTTATCAAGTATCTAGGAAGATACAATCTTACCACTCATGCGATCAGTAACTTTTTCATCAAAATGATTAAGGATTGAGAAGTGATTGCACTTGCTCATGCTTGAATTGTCCTATGGGTCCATCGTTCCCCGCTTTGAGTTCTTCATCCAGAACTGCGTTTGCATGTGCCACCCTTTTCCACCATGTGAGGATCCCGATATCCCACGTCCAAATTGATGCCCTTTACTACCACGGTTTCACTCTGCCCACCAGTCCGGATAGCCGTGTAACATAAAACAATTTCCCACCTCATGGCCCTTCTGTTTGCAGTGACTTCACACCAACTTGTTTTAATCCACTCGATTGGCTCTGAAGTTAGGCTGCTCTGCCCGTAACGCGAAAGCATGAGGATCCTCTTGCAACGCCTTTCCTGTAGCAATGTCTCTGGACTTTTCTTCTTGAACCATGGCTTGATGTGCCCGATCTAGTGTGACTGGAGTCGTTTGAGACAGCAAGTTAGAACGAGTAACGGAGTAATACTCATCATCCACGCCAATCAAGAACTGATGGAGTTTTTCTTCCTCTCTATCCGCTGCAAATTTTTCGACCACGTCACACGTACAAGCTCCACAACTACAAGCATGAAGCGGCTTCAGACGGTTAAATTCATCATAGAGCGACATGAGTTGATTCAAGTAGTCATCTATACTCATTCCCTTCGTCTGGTGACACCCAATGATGTTCGTGTGCAGTTGCTGAAGTCTATGACCGTTGGCAACACAATATCTTTTCTCCAAATAGTCCCAAAGTGGTTTGGCCTCAACATGGTAAGGTATGGTCGCTGCTATCTTCCTATCGATGCTTTGGAGTATCCATGACGCAATCATGGGGCTTATTGTCTCCCAATTCAGCATCTTCGTTGCCTCTCTCAGCTTTTTTATCGTTCCATCCACAAATAGAAATTTTCTCCTGTCCTTCAAAGAAAGTGTGATAGCTCTGGACCGGGGGCCACGTAATTCTCGCCAGTGAGAATCACATGAGTTATGACATTACCCGGTTGATCTCCAAAGCCCAAGTAATACGGAGAAGTTACATCGATTTTTTCATCGCCAGACATGGAAACCAGAAGGCTACAACGCTGGTGCACCAACTTACCCTAGCCAACAATTTTCAGAAGCTAACGAACGATGTTCATGTTTTAAACGCAACGGGTATGTCGAACAGTAGGCTCTGATACCATGATAAATTAATTAGGGTAATTTTTCCCTTGCCTCTCATTCCATAATACAGAGTATATATACAAGAATTGACCTGGTGGTTAATATATATGGGCCCTGTGTAAATCTAAGTACAAATATCGACTAAATAAATACAAACTATACAATTTAATTCCAATAGCACCGCTCCGCCACTTCATGTAAGAAACGACTATCGACCAAAGAAGCGGGAGTTTGGAAGACTGTGAGATTTATGTAACCCTTTTCTATTGTCTTTTAAATATTTTTGTAATTGTACAAGTGAATTTAATGTTTCCAATAAATTTACATTTCATTTGTGTGAAAAAGTCAAATCCCGAGTCTCCTAAAGATGAGTTTCATAGTACAAGAATGATTTAGCTACCGAAAATGAATTTGTTCAGAATGATCATGTCATAGGGGGGTTTAGGAGTTGATAATATTGCTTTTGAGGGACGTATTGATATATATTTTTGTTATTTTAAACCTGTGATTTTTATGTGTGTAATTTAGTGAATTTAAGTTTTTTTTATAATAAAGGTTTTGATATATTACGCATGTTAGCTTAGATATAAAAGCTAAAAGTTTTACAAGTTTTTTAAGATTAGGCCCATTTTAAATTGTCCACCCTTAAGCCTACGAACGTACAGGACCGGCCATGTGTGTACATGTTTCCATTGTTTTCATCAACAATTATATAACATATATTTAAATTGTTGCTGCAAAATCTCTTTGTTCGGCTTCCAACAAACGATAGGGATACTTTATGATGATGAAGTTATTGTGAGAATATGGCTTAATAACTAACTTTGATTACATTTCATAATAAAGTAATGAAACAATGGTACTCATTTTGAAACTTTTATAGATGTGGGACCTGATTCATAGAGAGCGTCTGCCAAGAGTCACTGGTCTTGTCTAGCAAGTCGCTGAACCAGTCATATGCCCCTCCCTCCAAAGTGGAGGAGAACATCCAACACATGTACTCATCATTAGAGCCAATCATAAACATGCACGGCTGGTAGCGAGAGTAATGCTCTTGGGGTTGGATTTGCCCCTTTACAGCTTGATAGTGGTCCCCTTATATTTTGGGGGTATAGGGCCCTTTGCGATCCTGTTGGTGGAAGGGTTGCGGATATTACTCTCACTATGTCAGGCTCATTGTTGAGTTGAACTTGCAGTTGTTGCACCTGGCAATAAGCTGGCATGCAAGTGCCTCTAGTTAAGCGGTAACTGCTGGAAGTGGTGATAATGGTGGTCGTGTCGATGCAGCTACTCACATCTCCTCGATCCACTTGATGCGTAAGAGCTCGGATCGTCTCCTCCTGTGGATCCGCCATGTGTTGGTGCTGAGGCGATCTCATTTTGGGGGGTTAGGCATGGGGAGCGATCCCCCCCCCCCCAAACGTTCTACGAGCAAGGATCCACTCTGGAATGGCCTCCCTGTGGTGATGCCGTTGTTGGACCTGACATTGTTCCTGCATATTGCCATGCACTGTGTGGTTGAGGTTCTGCCCCCCCCCCCCCCCCCCCCACTGTTGAAAATAGGACCCCGTTGAGTTTGCCTCCAAGGTCGGTGTTCTGACGCTAGTCCGAAGAGAGGGAGGTCTTCCTGGAGTTCGTCATTGTGGCAGCCATAGGACACCCGATGCACAGTGAACTGTGGTGGCATCACTATGGTGGTGGTGGGTCCATGAACTGATGTGCCGCTTGGGGCGAGAGGGGTCAGCCTGTTGTATTGGTGGTCCACCATGACAGTCACATGGCAGAGGGGAACGTCGCCAGAGGCGGGGGATCTGCCACCTTTCGGAGAAGCAAACATTGTTAACCTCGGGGTTTGGGTAGTTACCCTAACATAGAGATCTCAATCGATTTCACAAACAGGGTGCGTGCCCTGGAGGCTGCTGTAGAATTTTGCCTAGAGGCATCGACTTGGCATTAGTCGCCGCCTGAGTTTGTAGCAATGGCATAATTCGTTGCAGTCCAGGGATGAGGGCTCCCAGTACACCCGAGGGATCTGCGCCCAAGAGGCTCAAGGCTTGCGGAATCCCCTTACCTAATGGTGCGGCCCTGCAACCCTAGTTAGGAAGATCTGCTATCAGAGATTTGGAGAGTTATGCTGGATCTGAGTGCGTAGATCCACATCAGTGGTACTGCGTTGGTTGCCCTTAGCCGCCCTCCTGATGCCAGAAATTGTCGTAGTTTCGACACAAGCCTCCGAGTTAGCAATCGGAGCTGCACCACATTTGTTTTATTGTGTTCTTTTCGCCATTGATGGGAACACAGGTTTGGGGAGGTTCTAGACTTGATTAGATCTGAAGGTCCCTACAAGAGCACCAAATGATAGTCCTTAAGATCGGTATAGTAAGATCCGAGCGTGAGTCGAAAAATACAAGTGTGGAGTGAGTATATAATTTAACAAAGTAATGGTATGCTAAAACTCATAATTCAGATCTCTTTTCACATATTGAATTGGAAGGTGAATATTTGTGTTGGATTAATGGCCCAGGACTTGGGCCGGCCCATTCACCTCGACCAAGACGAACGTCTTCCTGGGCCACTGTCACGGATGAACGTCCATACAAAGACAAGAGGATCAAATCCATAGACAAACGCAATGGCGACGAACGTCGCCTCCGGAAGCCACTGTCACTTGGAGCCAGTCCAACCTGTAGGACAAATCATCTAAGGGTTAGGATACGAACGGCCCATTACCCTTTGCAATATCACCAGGAGCAGGCCCCCCTTTATCCGGACTGGACGAACGTCCCCACAACTAGGCGGGAAACCCAGATTCTGACGGGAAGCGCATTTAATGCCGGAGATTTGGTGGTTGGGACACCAGCCACACGCAAGCCTCCACGTCAGCATAGCCAACTGCCCATTGGTGGTATAAATAGCAGCATTTATTTCATTGTAAAGGGTTGGCAACTTACTATTCCTAGCACCCTAGCTTATAGCATTCTTAGTCGCAGCTCTTCTACTGCCTTGTAAGACGAACGGCCGACGAGCCTTAGCGAAAAGTATTGTATTGGGGAGTTAATAACTGATTACTAATACCTAATCTCTTACTTGCTACTTATTGTCTCTTAATTCATCTCACTTGTTAGTTGGGCTAGTTTATTCATACACACTCCACTCGAAACTCTTGGGCTTACGTGTTGGACCCGAGGGCTGAAAGAATAAACCTCAACAATTTGTATTAAAAATATTTGATGTTTGTTGAACAAGTAAGGTGACTAGTCTAATGAGAATGTGCCACATGTATGACGAATTGGTGAGAGGATCATTGATTGATTAATTGGTACATATGTTGTCCTTTGTTGACAGAAGGCCTGGATAAGCCACACATGTATTGCAACAATTGACTACTCCTGCAATGGACTGGGTGATGTATTATTTGGAATGTTTGTGCTAAAATGTTTTAAGTCCATATATCCACGCAAAGCGATGAGCTCGGTTCGACGTCAGTGAGAGGATGCTTAGCTCATATTAGGTGGAGATTGGCTCAGCCAAGGCGTAGCCTAATCCAGAA